ATATATATTACTCGCTTTGTCCTGATTTATGTGATACAAATGAAATTTCAAAAGTCAATGAATTTTTTATAAGTTTTTTTTAAAATTAACTTATTATTTATTGTGATTTATAATATATTTACGTAAAACATACTCTAAATAAAAATAATTAGCAACTTAAAATATATAAAAATACTAAAAAATTGATCAACTTCAAAGTTCATATGTACCACATAAATTAAAACATAAACAGTAACATATATTGGGCCCCGTGCCAGTCCCATATCTAGTATATATATATATTTCTCTTATATAGAAGAGACAGTTTCAACTTTCAACATGTCTGGTTGTTTGTCATTTAATTGAAAAATCAGGGTATTTTCGTCATTTTGGCTTGCCAAAATGATACGCCTGGCTACAAATTCCTTGCATTGTATACGTGTCTTTCTCTCTGTAATTCTTCAAACACGTACTCTTTTTCCATTCTAATCTTCTACAATCTCTAGATCAATTGTAACCTTACTGCACCATCTCCAAATATCTTATTTTCCTTCATCTCCTCTTGTTCTTAACCATGGCACTTTGGAGAGAGTTTATAGCTACCTCCTATCTCAGGTAACCGTAAATTTTATGGATCTTTTTGTTGTTTTGATTATGATTTCCTAATTTTACTTCGGCTATTTCATCTATCGATTTTTTTTGTGTCCGACTTTTTTTGTTGGTTCCTTCAAATTTTCCGTTTCCACTCTTCTCTTTGTGCTTTACTGTTTTTATAATTTCTAAACTTCAGGGTCCATATATATTGTTATATGGCTTTTCTCTGTTCTTCACTCTTTTAAAGTGTATAATTTTCTATGAACTCCTCCTATTGCACTACCAAGCAATCAAAAATTAATAATTGCACTTGGATTTTCCCTCCTAGAGTTTATGAAAATTAGGGGTTTAAGAGTGAAATTGTTCAAAATTATAGAAGTGGACATGGATTATATAAGTCAGGGACTTGGATGTTCAATTGGAGTAACATGATCCGTGAGATCCATGTAGCCTACCCTAATTTGTTGGGATTGCTTTGATAGGCTCTCACTTTGACAATTTTCAAGGATTCCTTTTATTGGATCATTTGATATAACAAAATTTAATGTTTGAATTTATTAATTCTTTATTCTCCAGTTCTATATACATTTGCATGTTAACATGGTTATGTTATTCCATTTAATAGGATATCAATTTTCGCTGAATTCGAATTTTCCTCTTTTTCTCTTTGTTGACAATAGTAAGATCACAATGTGTTTGAAAAATAAGTGTTGTGTCTCCACTTCTTAATTTCTACGATCTTTTCCTACGTTCCAAGTATAACACAACTGTGACCCTGAATGAGCTTTACATAGGCCTCCTTATAGGTGAATTGACACTCAGAAAGTTGAAATGCATGTATCTTTATGTAAAAACCAAATATTAAGAGAATTTCATAACAATATGATAAAAACCTACACTTTTGTTTACCTTCTCAAATACTTACAAGGTTTCCGTAAGTGAACAAGCTTGAGGATGGGCTAAAATAAACATCATTTGATATAGTTGAACTCTATTTTGAAAATTTTCATAGCATGTGGCTTTTCCCTCTCGATTCGTATTCCCTTTATGTGGTATTCATGTGTGATTGTATGAGACATAAATAATATTCAATGATGAAGTTTTCACATGTTATATGATTATGCATATGAAATAGGCTTTGATGAAAGGAGAGAAATAAACTATAACATGCTTTTATATGGCAAGAGACACTTAAGTTTGCAGACACAATGGGAGTAATAGAGTGAAAGGTTTGGGTTTTCACATCTAAAGGCTATGGATCTTAGCCAATCTTCATAGTGGGTTTATTCAGCTATGGGATCACCTTATCGGAACTCTCATTGATCGATTTGATGAGCACGATGGCCCTGTTTGTGGTGTCCATTTTCACAAATCTCAGCCTCTATTTGTTTCTGGAGGTTTGTTCGTCTCCTCTTTTTTAATTTGGTATATGAATTTGTTATAACAGTGTAGATCTGATGATTCCATGAATTTACAAATTGCTTTTGTTTAGTTAAATGTGATTCAACTCTAGCGGCACATTTGTTTTAATTGAGGTATACTCTAAGTTGAGTAGGGGCTAAACCAAAGTAAAATGATAATTCTGTGAGTAAAATGTTGTTTTGCATCACAATGTGATGGAATCTGGAGCTATTGATGTATGTTGATAACTGTATGTGATCCGTGCAATTACTGTCCATTCTTCATTAAAATGTAGGAAAAAATGAATGAGAAGAGTGACATATGCACATCTGGCATTGCTCCTAAATGGACTAATAGATATTTAAAGATTATGCATTAGCTCCATGAAAGATATTATCTATAGAGAGGACACGCGTGATAGCAGCTAGGTTATTCTCTTTTTGATGTTGTGGTATTTAGGCACTGATGAATATAATGAAGAAAGTAGAGGGAATATGTAGTAAAATGTTCCACTGCTCCTGGCATATACTGTATTGACTGTTTAGGAGCTTTTAAATGGTGCACAAAAATCAGATTAGTGAATATCATAATTTCTCAGGTTGTTGTCGTTTTTGCAGGGCAACAACATCTGTAAGATTAATTCAAAAGGGTCTATTTCATTGCTATTGACACTTTTCTTTCTTTCATCTTCCTAATTCCTCTGGTAAGCTTCATGCCAGTCTGACTAAGGTAAGGGGGAAGACCTCATTTCGTCATTCATATCTATTCTTCTTAGCCCTGCTTTGGCGATTCAATCCGACATTTCATTTCACCCTTCATCATTTGATTCTTCTCATCTAAGAGCTGATCTTGCAAAAGGAGCACAGTGCGACAACAAGCGAAAATCAGCAAACAGATTGCCAGTCTCAGGTGAGTTCCTCAACCTTCTCTTCTTTTCTCCTTTTTTCCATCAGCTTCTTCTATCCTAATCTCCTTCAATGAAAGATCTATGAGAAGGTTGTCGTATGCGACAATTTTCGGTGCTCTTATTTCAAGTAACTAGGTGGCTAAAATGTCTTCCATTAGTGTTATGTGTGCACGAAGTAGAGATTTATAGTGTTCTTACTTAAAATAACTAAGTAGTCATTTATTCTATTCCCTTTTCCCAGGTGTTCTTCAAGATTCTCATCTACAACTTCAGTTGTATGAAAACAGAGACACTATCTCTTACCTATTTGCAAATCAGTTTTTTGGAATGTTACATATCCCTACTCCATATATACTGATCTCCACAGAGAAGTACCTTGCTAGAGTACCAACAACGAATTTCAGCCTTCTAATGGAGCTGTTACAATCTGTCCCTACAGACTCAGGCAGGAAGAACTCAATTTTCTGGTTGGTAAGCAAGAATGAGAGTTCTCTGTTAAAAGTTATATTAACTTACTAAAACAAACTAGCTGCTGGGATTTGAGCTGCCCTTGGGAAATGATCTGGAGGATCAATGTACCTCCTAAAGTTGCTTGCTTGGTTGGATAGCAGGTAAGAATGTCTATTTGATTCATGATAGACTCCAAAAGAGAGGTTAGTCTCTATATTTGGGTGGTGCTTTTGGGAGAGTTTCATTGAAGTTATTAGTCTTCCGCCCGCTTCTTCATTGCAAGCCAAATTTGCATATATAGTCACTGTTTCTGAACCTATTTGGAATTAGTTGGGTCATGCCAATGGAGGTTAAAAATATTCTCAGTTGCTCGCTTGGACAGAGTATCTGCAGGACTTTGAAGACATCTTGGAAAACTATCCCATGATGCATTTTATGTACTGTTTGGCTTGAAAGGAACAGAAGATGTTGCCAACATTTTTTTCCTCCATTGTCATTTTCTTTGGGTTAAAATTGGTGTTATTTTCTCCTTCAATTGTGTATACAAGCAAGTTTATGTTGGGCCCGTGCTAAGCACGGGCCTTTGCCCTTCTAGTTCTACTATATTATAAAAGAGAGTTTAGGCACAAATATAATATATAATATTCTTGTGGGACTTTTAAAAGGAAGTTTCTTCAATATTACATATTATATTTATTATATAGTAGAACTTGGCATAAACTCCCTTTTAAAATAATATAGAATATGTATATATATATATATATAT